CAAGGGTTGTTGCCCCGCTTTGGGGGTCGAAGTCAAACGGGCAAAGTCTTTGATGGCAAGAAAGTGGTCATCGCCGGCCGTCTTCCAAAGACGTGGCCATTTTAGGATGAGCGTGAGGCTTGGCTGTACACGGGATCATGTCTGCTTTAGAAGAAGTGGTTTTAGAAGATTCGGGAAGACGGGCTCGGCGAGGCAAAATATCTCAGCTTCTCTCCGAGGCTTCGGGGGGGAGGGGTCTATTCCCTGATGTAGATCCGTTTGCAGACCACGTCGTCGGCAATCATGAACTGGAAGAGACAAAGAAGAATGAAGAAGTGAACTTAACACGCCCCCGGTTATAGATAATGGACACTCCCCTGACACACCCCCAGTTATAGCTAATGGACACTACCCTGGCACACCCCCAGTTATAGATAATGGACACTCCCCTGACACTCCCCCAGTTATAGATAATGGACACTCCCCTGACACCCCCCCAGTTATAGATAATGGACACTACCCTGGCACACCCCCAGTTATAGATAATGGACAGTCCCCTGACACGCCCCCAGTTATAGATAATGGACACTCCCCCGTCATGCCCCCAGTTATAGATAATGGACACTCCCCTGACACGCCCCCCATTATAGATAATGGACACTACCCCGTCATGCCCCCAGTTTTAGATAATGGACACTACCCTGGCACACCCCCAGTTATAGATAATGGACACTACCCTGGCACACCCCCAGTTATAGCTAATGGACACTACCCTGGCACACCCCCAGTTATAGATAATGGAAACTACCCTGGCACACCCCCAGTTATAGATAATGGATACTACCCTGGCACACCCCCAGTTATAGATAATGGACACTGCCTTGACACACCCCCAGTTATAGATAATGGATACTCCCCTGACACGCCCCCAGTTATAGATAATAGACAATACCCAGACACCCGCCCAGTTATAGATAACTTCCCTGGCACGCCCCCATTATAGATAAAGGATAATCCATTGACATTCCCCCAGTTATAGATAATGGACACTTCCACGCCAAAAGGGACAACTGAGGAGGGAAGAGGGACAGAGGGAGTTGGTGTCAAATGAAAGACGGTCCCTCCATATGCGGGACAGTTAGGAGGTATGACTGACATGCCATGGCCTTTGTAAGCAAAAGTCCTGGCCTGGTCCTCGAGCCCATTTATAGCTAAGGATGGTCCGTACTCATGGTGGCCTCCAACCATCCAGTGGAGTATGAACCATCCTTATGAATGAATGGGGCAAGGTCAAGAATGGGCACCCCACTTGGAGAGGCTTAGCAGAGCCACACAATGAAGGTCTAGGGCAAAGAAGCTAAGTATTGCGCAATGCACTGGTGGTGGGGGATTTAAATAAAGGACTTCCCAATGTGGGGGGAAGCAGCTGTCACTGGAACAGATGTCCCTTTTCCTCTCAACTCCTTTTTCCGGTGAAAACCATAACATTTTGGATTTTCCTAGGTCAATGTGTGAGGTCACCAGGGCAAAAAAAAAAGAGCAAAATTTACGTAAAGGAAATAAAAATCTCACACTAATCCTTCTCAACCATCCAAAACTTCCATATAAAAATTGGCACGGGAAACACTAAAGTGACTTTTCGAGTTGTTTGATCTTCCTCGTTTCCATTTGAAGAAGAATTCAGTTTGGTTCCCGTCAGTCGGGGATACCAATTATTTAATTTGTTGTATTCAGTAATCCCTTTATACCAATGAATAAGGTCTCAGGTCTTGGAAGTAGTGAAAATGCTACGAGCCGTAGGCAGGTTCTCTTACCAGGATGAGTTCCCCGTCGTTGGTCATCTCTCTGGACCAGGAAGTCTTGGGTCCTTCCCCTTTCAGGAGTCGCTGCTCGCACACCATTTTGTTCTCGCTCTCCCATTTGGCCAGGCTCTGAATAGACACAAAGAGGAAACAATCGTGAGGCACTTCATTAAATAACAAAACAGGCCCTCCAGACTCCGGACACTTCAAGAGCCGTCCATCATGAGGAGGAGACAGCAAGCCTCCTCCTGGAAACGTATCTCTGAGGAATCTGACACCCTCCATTCAGACCCTTTCCTCTGGATTTCCCCGAGTTGAAAGTGACAGGGCCTGAGGGTGGATGGATCACCGACGGACAACTGAATTCTACAAAGAATGGATGACCACTTAGACCTCGTGGACTTTCTCTTCCAATGGTCAGCAGACCGTGTGTTTCATTGGAGGTCAATAAGTAACCATTGAGACACTGAATGGCCAGGATGGGCTCTGTGGTCATAAAGGGCACAATGGACTTCACCCTCATATGACCACTTCCATTGACTCCCCCAACATCTGGGCCCATGGTGAAGGGCCAAATCTATTGCAGGTCATACATCATCTAGCCCTTTCCTTCTCCGGTCTTACTGTCCCTGGACCCACCGCTTTTATCCATTGACTCCCTCAACATCAGGGCGTCCGGGAACTGTGTAGGACCATGGTGAAGGGCCAAATCTATTTTAGGTCATACATCATCTAGCCCTTTCCTTCTCCGGTCTTACTGTCCCTGGACCCACCGCTTTTATCCATTGACTCCCTCAACATCTGAGCTTCCGGCAACTGTATAGGACCATGGTGAAAGGCCAAATCTATTGCAGGTCATACATCATCTAGCCCTTTCCTTCTCCGGTCTTACTGTCCCTGACCCCACCACTTTTATCCATTGACTCCCTCAACATCTGGGCGTCCAGCAACTGTATAGGACCATGGTGAAGGGCCAAATAATCTATTGCAGGTCATACATCATCTAGCCCTTTCCTTCTCCGGTCTTACTGTCCCTGGACCCACCGCTTTTATCCATTGCATTTCAGTTCCGTCAATCTTGGAGGCTCAACATCACACGTGCGTATTACCTTGGGTGGTCTACATCCAAATACAGCCCCCCGAGGAACATCCACTACTCCAGACTGACAACGACACGTTAAGGCATTTCAATATTTGCATAACTCGTCCCAAGAGCCAGCCCACTGCCTGCATTAGTGCTGAGGGCTCCTAAGAGGAGTGCTGTGGCCAGCCGGGTGCTGGGATGTTCTCAGGAAGCTATGTACAGCACCATGCCGGCCCCTCCCACCAGCCCTGATCATTGCATAACTCCTCCCAAGAGCCAGCCCACTGCTTGCATTAGTGTTGAGGGCTCTTAAGAGGAGTGCTAGGGCAGCCGGGTGCTGGGATGTTCTCAGGAAGCTATGTACAGCACCATGCCGGCCCCTCCCACCAGCCCTGATCATTGCATAACTCCTCCCAAGAGCCAGCCCACTGCCTGCATTGCATAGAGTCCCAGTGATAACATCCCTAATCATGGGGATTTCCCGTACTTTGGAGGGATTGCCTTTTACTTCCTGTTCCCGTTGACAGGAAATGAAGGAAAATCTCCCCCAATGGGGGTTTTATATGTCCTGCTCTATCCAAAATGAAGACGTTTGGCTTTATTCCAATGATTTTTTTTTGTTTCTTTTGTACATTTGTTTCTGCCGTCTTTGTAATCAGCCGAAAAAAATCTCAGGCACGAAAAAAACAAAACGTGATTATTGGGCAGAGGAGGAAAGAGGAGGCAGTGAGGCGAGTCCCGCGGGGGCCCCCGTCTGACGAGGCCAAAGAGTCAGCTATCGGGTAATGAGATCGCAATCATGGTTGAGTTGAGCGAGCAAAAGCGTGTGACCCGCTCCAGACCCGTCATGCTTCAGGGAGCTCATCGCCGCCCTCTTGTGACGGATGGCACGCTGCCATGTGCTGCCCCCCCCTGGCTCTTTATTAAAAAGCGATGAATCATATTTTGTCAGCTGTTTTCTGGGCCTCATAGTCATCGTTGGCACTTCATCACTGACCGCAACCAGGCGATTCTTCAGAAGCCACGAAGGCGGCCAGGAAAACATTTTCTAGGTCACTGCTGATCTCTCTCCTTGTGCAGGGTGACTGGTCTTGTCTCCGCCCCCTCCTGTAATAAAGACCGATCACTGCCGCTCTCTCTTCGGGTGCAGGGTGCACCCAGAAAGTTGTTGTGATCAGGGCGGGGCCACACAGAAAGTGGGTGTGATCAGGGTGGGGCCACACAGAAAGTGGGTGTGATCAGGGCGGGCCACCCAGAAAGTGGGTGTGATCAGGGTGGGGCCACCTAGAAAGTTGATGTGATCAGGGCAGGGCCATCCGGAAGTTGGGTGTCATCAGGGCAGTGCCACCTAGAAAGCGAATGTGATCAGGGCAGGGTCACCCAGAAAGTGGGTGTGATCAGGGCAGGGCCACCTAGAAAGTGGGTGTGATCAGGTGAGGCCACCTAGAAAGTGGGTGTGATCAGGGCAGGGCCACCCAGAAAGTGGGTGTGATCAGGGCAGGGCCACCTAGAAAGTGGGTGTGATCAGGTGAGGCCACCTAGAAAGTGGGTGTGATCAGGGCAGGGCCACCCAGAAAGTGGGTGTGATCAGGGCAGGGCCACCTAGAAAGTGGGTGTGATCAGGGCCGGGCCACCTAGAAAGTGGGTGTGATCAGGACAGGGCCACCCAGAGTGTCAGTGTGATAAGGGCGGGGCCACCTACAAAATTGGTGTGATCAGAGCATGCCACCCAGAAACTTGGTGTGATAAGGGCGGGGCCACCCAGAAACTTGGTGTGATCAGGACAGGGCCACCCAGAAACTTGGTGTGATAAGGGCGGGGGTGCCCGGAAAGTGGGTGTGATCCTGTTGGGACCGGACAGAAAGTGAGTGTGATCAGGGCAGGGCCACCCAGAGTCAGTGTGATAAGGGCGGGGCCACCCAGAAAGTTGGTGTGATCAGGGCAAGGCCACCAAGAAAGTTGGTGTGATAAGGGCGGGGCCACCTAGAAAGTGGGTGTGATAAGGGCGAGGCCACCTAGAAAGTGGGTGTGATAAGGGCGGGGGCTGCCCGGAAAGTGGGTGTGATCCTGTTGGGACCGGCCAGAAAGTCGATGTGATAAAGGCAGGACTGCACAGTGCATTAGAATATCAAGTGAAGGCCTTGGGCGGGGGG